TGATTCATATCACGAATTATACTATAGCACATTTCTAATAGGTTTAACGAATTACATGTCATTTATTTGAATTCATATTTATTTTAATGATTTAGTATTTACTAAAAAGATGTAATTTTTTTTTAAAAAAAAAGTTGCTATAAGGATTTGAATGAATGTTTTGAATTCTTAGAATTTTGTGCATTTGCAATGTACCTAAGTTAGCAGCGAGCTAAGCAAACCATATAAGATTGCGTAGCAATTCTCGGGGGTTGGAGAGCGTTAGCGAGCAGGGGGCGCAGCCCACTAGTTCTATTGAATTTATATTTGCACAGAACATTTCTCACCAGTTTTAACAATGATCCGCTTAGGATCGAACGCAAATCCATGAATTTGAAGATATAAGAATCATTTTTTGGAATTTGCAAATCTGCATTTCATATAATATCATTTTATCTACATTTCATACAACATTTAGTGATTAAACAAGCTTTCTGCTATCTATGTATTAAACGCAATTGCAACTTATTATGAGAATCTGAAAACTATTCAAAATTTTGCTGTTAGATATAAAAATGAACATATTAAGAAAGTTTGTTTATACTTTACCTCATTGATTATTCGGGTATCTGTTTAGCCAGTTCAAAAATAAGAGTTAGAGAATTTTTGAAACACTCATTTGAGTCGAAATCTATATATTTACTTAGCACCAAACTTACGATTTTTTTAAATCTTAAATTGGCAACATTTAATTTATACGTGAATACGTTGAACCTATTATTTTTTTAAAACATAAATACATATTTTATTAGAAACATATGAATGTTGAAAGATTTAAATCCCTTCCTTAAAAATATATTTTAAAATTTTAATAAATTATCTTGAATTTGGATAGGTCGAATAAATCGGGTATTTATACTAAGTTAACATTCTCAACTGAAATGGTTTTAAATTTTCGAAGAGATTTAAAGAGACTTTTGCCGCAATATTAAATTTAAGTTCTAATTTTGTCATCTAACTTATACTTAAACTTTGTTTTGAAGTAAGTTTTATAATTTATTTGGAACTTGAAGTACCTTATTGTTTATGTACCCATTTTCGAAATTATCAATTAAAACAAGTTTTGTTTATCAGGATTATGGAATATTCTGCATCCTGTAACGATTAATTTGTGTACGAACCTTTTTAAAATAAGCTCTACCATTTATGCTTTGAAAACTAATTTGTCTAGTACTCACTTTTCTAGTTAGAGATTAGCTTTATATCTAGTTAAGAATCCAGTATAGTTAGATAAAGTTCCTCATGTCGTAATGCCTAGCGTGCATTATGCAAGAAGCAAAACGGTTGTCTACCACCTCCTCGCAGGGTTTTATACTTGCCCAGATGCTACGGAACTCTTCGCTTCAATTATACACACTTTCTGTTTCTGAGCAATATCCCAATATTGCGTAGAAAATGTAATTTATCTCAATTTCAGCATAGTCTTTTGACTAAAGTCTGCGAATACCTTTGCGTTTTGACAACTACAATTAACGAAAATTAAACGATGTTTTGGCTTAAATACCTGCAGATTCGAAACTAACTTCGCATTAAACTAAGATTTGTTTTATTAATTTATACACTAAACGTATAACGATTTCATATACCCGCTAATCAATTCTGCACTGCTATGCTCTGCCAACGCGTTAAATTCAGAAATGAATTCTGATTTTTTGCGTAACTTTGTAGAGCTAAAATATTATTTAACTAGGGCCTGGCTAGTCAGGCTCGGGAATTTAACATTTGGAGCCGTGCATCCACTATGAAAATGTTTTGGTTCGTAATAAGATTAACTCTGCAAAAGAGTTAATCCGGGAAAAATTTCAACCATACGTCATTTCAACATGTTTTTATTTTTGATCAAATTTTACAGCCAATTAACATCCTTTCCTGAATTGCGCATAAGTGACCAACATTTAACACTTCACTTTTAATAAAATATTAACTAATTCAACATTTAATAAAAATATTTATTATAAAATTTTAAACGTTTATTTATATTTTATTCCTCAAAAATCTTACTGTAAGAAAATAATTCAGAAATGTGTAAGAGGATGGACAATTACAAGACTATGCATTTAAAAAAGCTTCATGAACTAAGACTGTTTCAGGGTATTTATTGTTTATGTTGCTCAATAGAGATCTTCAAAATTAAAGCTAAAAAGCTTAATTTGTGTTTTGTATTTTATTAATTTTAGCTTTTTGGTATAAGTAATAAGTCATCCAGTCTTAATACAAATCACTAGTTCTAAAATGTCTTCCGAGTTAAGAATTTGTTTTAGTTTAAAAATAAAATTTTAAATTTCTGACTTCGTAAATAGTTATTAAAATAGATGCAAGTTTTTAAAACTTAGTTGGTATCTTTAATGCACCTGTTACAAAATTTTTATTTTATCCGAATTAGAAATTTCAAAATTCGAACAAAGCTGAATTTCAGTATTTCTAAAATATTTCTGAAAAAGTTTTTTCCACGCAATTTTCACTAAACTTAATAAAATAACTGAAAATGATCGAAACTGCTTAACCCTAATTAACCCTTACTATCCCTACTTACTAACCCTAACCCTTACTATCTCATAATTGATAAAAATTTAATTTCAAAATATAAATTTTATGTATACTCTTAATATAAAAACTTTTACCGCGTAATTATGCCCCATTGTTTAAACTTATTTTGCCGCCGAGTCAATGAATTAATGTTAGCTTATGGATAAAATATATGTTATAGTTAGTATTATGTTAGTCTTATGTTAGTATTTAGCCAGAAATAACGTACATGAAATATGAATGCATAACTAAATTCCTTAAACATGAATTGCTTCAAATTTGCTCAGCCAGGCATATTTACATTAAAAAGGGAAAATTTTGTAAATTTATTTACTTTTTGAAACTATGGCTCGATAGTGTCACAGATTCTTTTAAATTTTTGAAATATCCTTTTATCACGTGCTATGCACATAGCCAGTTTCGGATAACTAAACTAACGGAATCATCCGTAATAAATATTGTTCAGTGTTGAAATTTTTATTTGAACAGATACTTCTGACACTGAATATGCATCAAAACAGCTAAAAATATTTAAGAGGCAATGAAGCAAATTGAGGCAAATCCATTTAAAGATTATCGTTATGCAAAAAGACTCGGCGGAGAAATAAGATTAAAAACAAGACTAGCTTTGTAGAGACCCATTTATTAATGTATTAAAAATATCCTATTAGAAATATAATTTCAGTTTATCTTAAGAAATCAGCTGGCAAGTTGAAATATTTTATTTACCAAAATTCTAACTTATCTAACATTTTCAGTGCATGCGATAATGTGTACAATTAGTTCAATCTACAGATAAAAATTACTGTTACGCCAAAGCGTGTTAGAAGCTACCAGTTTTCTTTTGAGTGGCAAAATTAAAACATTTCTTGAGCAAACCTAACGCGTTCCGCTACGCTAACTTAATTACTAGACAGATTTGATTTTTCATAATTTTTTTTATTAATAGTTTCGTTCACAAACTTTATATAAAGCACATTCTTTTAAATTTGGAATAAATACCTAAAATGGTTATTGCCTATAGATACTATATAAATGATCGACAAATTATAAATTTAAATTGATTTTGTGAAATTTATCTTAATACAGTTACGTAAATGAAAATAAGACCTAATGTGTGAAGTGCCAACTTAACTATACAACATTAATTGTTTTCCATCAAAGCTAACTAAGATTAGGACAAAAATTAAATTTCAAAAATGCGATACTATGACGAGACAGCTAGTCTTTATAGCATGAAGGGTTTTAAATAATTTAAGTGATAGGTACACAAACAGACAGATCCGGAATAGTAAGATAAAATTGGTATTTCGAACAGTACGGGTTACCTTAAATACGAAAACTGGTATTTAATAGTATTTTACTGGTGAGGTGGGATTAATTGATAACTATCAATTTCATAGCGAGTGTTTTATTAAGGTAACACTAAATTTGTGATATTTTATGTGCTAGTTTTCCGGTTTCTAAGCATCCCGTTACCTCAAAGAGTTCAAATTTTAAAATGTTGATTTAATAAATACCGGTTTTTACCCGGGCCCTGAAATTTTTTTTTAAAGATTAAAACAAGTTTAAGAGTTAGTTTATTTTAATAATATCCTGCAAATTTGAGATACGAATTTTGTCTATCACATATAAATTCCTCAAAGTTAAGTTCATTAAGTTTTGCTTAAACTTCAGATTAAGTGTATTTTAACAGTCGACTTTGAAATTAACTCACCCCCCCCCACATTTACGATTCTAAAATATGAAAGTAATGCATGTATTTGGTGGAAATACATTGAAAAGGAATTTAAAAACTTGTAATACCAAAATTAAATCCGATATAAAGTTTTATTCATCTAAATACGTTTCGTTTGAGAACCGAACGAAGGTATTTTAATTTTTAACAATTTTTTGAATTTAATGATTTGAATTTAAACTGGAACACCAAAACAATTCTTTTGAATAATACAATTTTTAGATTTTAGTTAGTGTACCGGACAATAGTTCTGAGGAAAAACTCCGATAAATCGAAATTAGTTCTTTTGCGCTAATATTTAATTTTTCTTAAATATTATGTCATAGCTGATAGCGAGCGATAGATAACAATAAGCTTGTCTTAATTATTTTAAGACTATTAACAGTACGTATATAGACATTAGAAAAGGTGCATTTAATTTTTAGAGACCAAATTTAATTTAAAATATTTAATGGGTAAATATGACTCAAAATAATTTAAGACTAAAAACTTCTAGATATGATAAAAGGGAATATTTAGGTAAATAAGATTTAATTATTCTTTACGTTTAAGAAAAATCTTTGAAATAAACTTTTAAACAATGTACACTTAAATTTCATATAATTTATAAATATGTGTTTAGATTTAATTAAAAATATTTATGGAACTTAATTCTTATAAGAGAAAAATTTAAATAATCAAAATATTGAAAATGGAATTGTCAAGTAATTCAAGGATAATTTAAAAATAAACCTCGTGTTCATTTGAAGAAATACGATCAGCGTTTCTGTTATGTCATGACGACTAGGCAACTGAAGTAGATCATATGGCAAACTACGATCCTCATGGCAGCTAGGTCAGCAATGGACATCTTGGGAAACTACGATCCTCATGACAGATAAGTCAGCAATGGACATTTTGGGAAACTACGATCCTCATGACAGATAAGTCAGCAATGGACATCTTGGGAAACTACGATCCTCATGGCAGATAAGTCAGCAATGAACATCTTGGGAAACTACGATCCTCATGGCAGATAAGTCAGCAATGGACATCTTGGGAAACTACGACCCTCATGGCAGATAAGTCAGCAATGGACATCTTGGGAAACTACGATCCTCATGGCAGATAAGTCAGCAATGGACATCTTGACAGACTGATACTCATGGCAGCTAGGTCAGCAACGGACATCTTTGAAAATATGGTTCCCAAGGAGACTATATGACGATGAAGTACTCAATGCAAAGCCTAGTTTTAAACATAAAACAAAATGTCTTTACTCTTATGGTCAAATTAACATAGGGATTTTACTTTAGTTAGAGGCAGTGTTTGATATTATTGGGTGAAGTTTTATAACTATTAGCTACGCAAATCTCAGTAAACCTCCCGAGTCATTTACAAAATCTTCACCATTTTACAAAATTCTTAAGAACTTGTAACTATGTCCATATCAGTCCGAACATTTAATTCCTACTCGCAGGACCTCTGAACTATATGCTTGCTTTTCAAATATCTATCACAGAAATCTATATTAACAAAGACATGAAATTTAAATGAGAACGAAATTTCAATTACCAAAGACTTTAAATAACCACGGAATTAAGAGATTTAGTCAGATATTCGTAAAAGTTATTTTGGAGCTTTGGAGAAATGATCAAATTTCATTAGCCTCCTGATCATAGATAATTGGCTTTTATTGGTTGATAATTGGCTTTCATCAACAGAAGTATACAACCAAGTAACTAAATGAATCACATATTCTTTACATTGCTAAATAGTACTTAAAAAATACTGTTACATTGCTGTAACTTGAAAGAGATTGTTTATAATTAGAGAGAATATTAAAAAATAATTTGGTACAAAATTCATGCTATAACAAAAAATTTCAATTTTTTAAAAAAGTTTTCGAAGTTTAAATAAGCTCTTTGCACTAAATTTTTTTTTTAAATATAAAGATTTGTTAATGTCAACTCTATTTACATTTCTTTTAAGATTGTAGGGAAAAATCTACGCATTTTTCAACTAATTTCCATACTGAGCACAAAGAAAGTTTTGGAAAAAAAAACAACATGAAAATAGTTCCTTTATGAACGTTTTGGAACATAAAATATGTTGCAGCTAGAAAATTTCAAAATAAGTTGCAACAAGTTTTTTTTTATTGATCTAGAGTGTCAAAAAAGTTTCATGGGATAGTCAAAATTATAGAGCATGGAACTTATTCAATTTTCAGTTCAATGCAAAATTTTTATTGAGAAAAAAGTTTTTCTAATAAAAAGCAAAATAACACTAATATTGTCAAATGTTTTACAAATTCTTGAGATTTTATTATGCTTTTTATATCATTTAATTGTAAAATGGTCAAAGTTAGAAAATCGATTTAAGAGAGTTTCACGATTTTGGGAGCAGTCCACTGTAGCCTTAAAAAAACCAATTAAGAGCCGTGGTGCCCCCCCCTGAGCGTAAGCCTTCCAATGATGCTACCTAAGCATAGGCTGATAGATACCAATTCTGCTCTTCACTGTACCCGACCACAGTTCTGACGTAAAATATCCTCAGTCGGTTCATGGTTTAGAAGCTCGTTACCATCAGACTGATCGTGGAAGAATTAACGCAATTTTTAAGACTTAAAATTAAATTTAATGTAAGGTTTAAAAATGTATAAAATATTCGACAAAATAAGCTCAAAACTACACATGTTTCATGCCACACTAATGGCTCTACAGTAAATTCTAATTCATACATTTCAAAATACCTAAATTAATGTTATTACCCGAGATTTTAACTATTTTGTAATTTCAAAAAGAATTAACTATACATTAATATTGAATCTTTAATGAAAAATTCAATATTCTTAAGGCTTGATAAAAATAACAAATTCACACTTGCACCCTAGCTCTTAGTTCATCGCCAACATTATACAAAATCTACATGCAAAGTTTCAAGCAAGTCTATAGTAAACTATTATCTGTGCTGGAGTAAAAAATCTCCAAATCTACGTTCTGGAAATGCATTTAAATTGTAACAAAATTCTGAGGGCAAAAACTCGAAATTTTCAGAAAATGATATGTCTTTATATAAAGTTTATATAATATATACTAAATTGAAAATGTAATCTTTTAATTTGTTCAGACTAAAAGGTTAAATTTTCAAAGCTTAAAAATATTCAAGTGTCTTTATGAGTCTACTTTCATTTTCATTTGTGAGTGCGAAAAAATTAATATTTCAAAAGATGGATCAAAAATTTAAAAGGTTTTCAAAAGCCAATAAATACAACGTTCTAACGATGAAATATTAAACAGTAGACTCACAGAATAAAATTTCTATTAAACAATTCTTTGACCAGATCAAAATAAATCTTAACTTCCTTACCCAATCTAAATCGGATAATGATGACCAACATTCTTCTGTAAGGAATAGATTTTTAAATCTAGCATCAACTTTGTGAAGTAAAGTATCAAACATCTATTTTCAGGTAGTTTCTTGGATCCTGCAAGAAAATGGGAAACCTGTCATTAAAAATATAAAATTTGTTGCATATACAGTGAAGTATGTTTTTATACTTTTAAGAAATATACTTCAAGTTCGTTGATGAACGTTGTATACTTATTACTAATAGAAAAATGAAATTAAACTAATACTACTACAATACTAGTGTTCGATGCTATATATTCAGGCGGTTAACTTAAAATCTCCAATTCCGAGAAGAATTGAAAAAATAAAAGACTTAATATTTTAGTTCATTTTACAGTTCTCCGACAAATTTCTTGTCTGAATGAGATTTTAACTGTTTCGAATTTTTTAATCTGTTTACTTCAGAAGTAAATCCCGAATCCTGAAATCCCGAATAAAATCATGAAATCGATTATACATAAAATGATAATATGCTAATTGATGATATTGATAATATGCAAGATTTTACAAAGAATCTTTTAGTACCTGGCCATATTAGAAGCACTCTAGGTAAAATTCATTATAATTAATCGCACCGGCTGAAGGTTATCACATTTGAGTAACTACATACGAACTAATTAACTGTATAACGATATTAAACTTTCCTGATTTAAGGAAACAGAAGAGGAGAGATCCTAGACATATATGGGGTAGCGAAACCGAATAAAAACGAAATGGACTTGTAAACCTATAGTTTGTCTACGGTAAAAACTACCCCCGCCACAAAGTCTGAGGCCGACTGCTGCTATGGAAACAATAGCGCATTTCAAGGAGGGTAGCTTCTCTTCACTCTAGGG